AGGTGCTCCACCAGGTAGCCTGCAGCATAGACACAGGTGCGAGAGTTAATATACAGGTGCTCCACCAGGTAGCCTGCAGCATAGACACAGGTGCGAGAGTTAATATACAGGTGCTTCACCAGGTAGCCTGCAGCATGGACACAGGTGCGAGAGTTAATATACAGGTGCTTCACCAGGTAGCCTGCAGCATGGACACAGGTGCGAGAGTTAATATACAGGTGCTTCACCAGGTAGCCTGCAGCATGGACACAGGTGCTAGAGTTAATATACAGGTGAGAGAGAGTTAACACACAGGTGAGAGAGTTAACACACAGATGAGAGAGAGTTAACACACAGATGAGAGAGAGTTAACACACAGATGGGCAGACACACACAGACACACCTGAACTATACGTATACATACACAGGGAGCCCGTTGTCAGAAACAAAATTAGTCTTAATATTAGTCGTAACATCAATCTTTTCTCATTTAAACGGTTGACAGAAACATCGTAAAGTTACGAGTTTCTCAGACTCGAGAGTTAGTACACAGGTAGACAAAGCCGTAGGTGGAAATACATGCTGTAATAGACACACACAGCTGTAAGTGAACATACATGCAGACGTAAGTGAAGATATAAGCAGCTTAAAGTGGATATATACTGAGCTCCCCCCACACACTTATTATGCGTCCGATGTACAGTCCACGGCTCCTGGCAAGTCAAAGCAGAGTCTGCGAATCCTGCCATCTAAGTATCGTCTGCACGCTTACCTTCATGCCGACTCGTTATAAGCGTTGGGAAATATTATTGTATCTGATCGAAATCGACTTGTTTTCGTAGCTAAAATCGGCGGGAAGCCAAAACGATAAATCGCGTATTGCGTCAGATAAAAAAATCGCGTATTGTCTCCGTAAAAAATACTACGATTAATCTTGTTTCTGATTTACACCAACCTGTTTGACAGCCGACAATATATTGAGTAGTAGCTTCACCGCCACACTGGCAATTCATCGTGGTTATTGTATTACCCCGAACAAGCTGAGCGATGGATATATCGTCACCATAGCACGACAGAACAAATATCTACACCTATTCTCTAAATACTAATATAAATTAACCCATAATCGAATGAATTAATTATCCACGATAAGAAAGTCTCATGATGTTGGGTTAGGATAGAACATCAGTCGACTTCACAGGTAAAAGAAACGTCTCAGCCCTCCGTAATTGTTTCATTTGAACGTTTGCGGTTCGTTCATCGCTGTTTGTTGTTTTGTTTTGCTACACACTTACAATTGTACACTACACGCTACACTTGTACTCTACGCGTACAATTTAATAGCGTTTGTTGCTGGCGAGATGTGTTCGGTAATTCATCCCTCTTTCTCTGTTCTCCCTATCTGTCACTCTCTTCCTCTCTCTCTCTCTATTCTCTGACTGAATTTTGCTGTTCAGCTGAAGGACACTTTCCCTAATACCGAAATTGCTCTGAGAATCTATCTTTCATTGATGGTCTCGAATTGTAGCGGTGAAAGGTCATTTTTAAAACTCAAGTTGATTAAAAATCACATGAGAACCACGATGAGCCAACAGATCGAGACTGGTAAACCTCAGTATTCTCGCTATCGAAAGTGACATTTTAAATTTGTTGAAACACGATGAAATACTCTCTGAATTTGCAAGCATGAAAGTGCAGAAAAAATACAGACTATAGGGCCCCCACACTAATGCGTGCCCCGGGCCCCCCACACGCTTAGTCCGGCCCTGCTGGCGCGACAAGCACGACACATCAGAAAACCTCGTGTTGGTGGCGCCCCCTATGAAAGACAAATGATCAACGCAATAAACATCCCGATAGAAATCTAGTTGATGGATAGTGATCGTGATACAAATACAAAGGTACCGGTCGCCGATTTAAACTAATTATTCAACCTAAACATATTCACTGTGCTTAACTAATCACTGGTACTAACACAATGACTGCTGCTTACAGTAATAATTAGATAATACTAATAGAGTTGGAATACATGTTACTTTATTGTGCATGCACATTGCCCGGCCATTGAGCGTGCAGGCATAGCAATAGCAATCCATCCAATGGGCAATAGCAATAGCAATACTCCAATAGCCAATAGGCCTACTACTACTAGTACTACTACTAGGATATCCCCGGATAAGGGTTAAGTTAGGATTAGATTAGGCACTTAGGGTTGCAGTGATAATGTACGGACATCCTAATGTAGGCCTGAGTCCCGACGTAGTACATAGAATCACAGGCCCTTGGAGGCTCAAGTTTCGAAAAAGTATAACTATAAGTCTATATTACAACGGGGTATCATCGGCCTGAAACTGTAATTGCAATTGCATTAGCTCCTGAATAGGCTGTAATCTAAAATGTACGTAAAAAATTATATGATACCCACAAAACTCCCTTGCTGAATATAATAATAATTCAGTGTAGGACCATGCGTGTTGCTATCACTGATCTCTATATATACTAATAGCGGTTAGCCCATCTATTGTCGGTGATACAGCGACGCCACAGTGCCACTGGCCGCCATCTTGCAACCATTCTCAAAAACTGAAACCTGCGAGTGCGTACCCCGTAAAGCCCTGCTCAGGTCGCCCTACGATTTGACTATCGGCGACTACTTTATCGCCGATTAGCAGCATAGCAACACTCACGTCGACTTGAAGTGACTTCACGCTGTACATCGCCGATCAGATCGTAGCATTCTGCAGGAAACGTAGACGGGTTCGCGGCCCCAGTATTTGTACTAGCACAAGCAGTTCTTTAGCACAAACAGAGCAAGCTTGACGCCGGGACCAGTCTACATATAACGAGTCACATGACCAACTAAACAGCGCTTACCATTAAACATCAGGAAACTTCGTAAATCTATCCTCAATTTTCTGAAAATCATTATAATCATGTGCAGAAAACGAATTTTAAAAATTGCCTGTGATATACGGAAAACTTAATATATATATTTGAGAAAGGGTTTGTGCAATAATCCCTCCTTGTAAACTGCTGTGTAGGCTGCCATTTTGTTAATCACGTGACTTTTGATAATCATGTGACTCGACACGTAGCGGCGATTGGCTGCCACTCACGATTTGTCGCCGACCGCCGCATAGAAATAGAACCGTTTCTATTCCTGAGATCGCAGTCGGCGACCGTATTTTCAATCGTAAGAGAACTCAAGTCGAGTTTAGTCGCCGATGTTTTTATCGGCGATCTGGCCGGTTTTTGACGTACGATCTTCAAATTTTGTCGGCGACTAGGTCGTAAGGGCGACCTGAGTTAGCCTTAACACTTCAAATGGATAATGATGAAGTACAGCTCATTTTATTATTCTTATCCTGACGAAAACAAACGGTGATAAATACATGACAGAATAAGTAAATCTATATAGATAGATAGATAGATAGATATATACAACGACAGAGGTTAGATAGAGTGATATATGATGGTATAAACATTGAGGTTTTGCTTATGACATCACAAATCACATGACGTAAATACGGCTCAGCCTATTGGCCTATTCTATGATAACACTAATTCAAGGAGTGGAGTCATGGCATCCGGTGGCTACACATAGCGGCCACAAAGAGCGATCCAGTTAGTATATAGAGATCAGTAGTTGCTATGTTCTTATCCCAACCCTGGCATTTTACTTTTCGCTTTTTGTTTTTACTGCTTCATTATTTTTTTACCAAGGCACTACACATAAAATTTGTTTTGCAAACCCTTCCCACCCACACGCAGCACTGGCACAAAGTCCGAGCAGGGCCATTGTTTTTTTCTCGCTAAGCACGCAAAACTCCTGCATTCGCCTCATGCACGCACTGCTCGCTTAAGCCCGGCGCACATTGCCAAACATTTTGCTCAAAAACATTATCGTAGCAATGTTCCATGAAATGTTTGGCAATGTGCGGTGAAAAAAGTCGCCGAACATTTGTTCCAAACAATGTTTCTAAAGATCGGAAATGTTTGATATCGCAAACATTGTTCGTCGAATGTTCGTCAATGTGCGCTGAATGTCGAACAATTCTGGGAACATTTGTAAAGTAGTAACCAATAGCAGCACGATATGTGGTCACATGATTTTTGTGTACAATATGGCGTCTGCTATATCGCTGCCAGTAGTGTGGACTTTTGAAAAGGAAGAGATTATGGTCGAAATGTGGGGGCAGCAGCCCCGTAAAATTAGTAAAGTTGTTAAAATTCTCTTGTGCAAACTGGGCATCGCCATTCACACCGATCACGTGACTCTTTACAACACAGCTACTAGACGGCGCCACGAGGTTGTTCGCTGCAAAATGTTTGGCAATGTGCGCTCAGCAATTGTTCACCTGCACATTGTCAGACAAAAACATTTGTTCGGACGAACATTTGTTCGGGAAAATGTTCGGCAATGTGCGCCAGGCTTTAGCCCACACCTGGACCTTTCTCTTTTTCTCCCTTTTACTTTATTTTCGCTCGCACTGACTTCGGCGGCGCACACACGTTTTGAATAAGAAAAATGGACAAACAAATGAAACGAGGGTTTCCGATCACGCCGTGATGATTTCAGGTCGGGCCGCCGGCGCCCCGCGACGAGACCTCGCGTCGCCATGGCAACCGCCACCACCGCCGCCTTCCCCCGGCAGCGCATCAGGAAGCTGCTCAGACTCAAGCTCGGCGCGTTCACGTTCGAGGTTCCTATCACGCTCGACCACGACGCCAGCGCTGCGACCTACGCGTGCAGCGCCAGTGACGCGGCGTCGTCGTGGCCCGGGGTCGCGCGCACGAGCGAACCACAAGCTCGCCGCTTCGTTTCGCTGCTGGCGCCCCCTGCCGTGGCGCCCCTGCCCGCTCGCGCGACCGGCAATGATGCCGCGACGGCGCCCGGCGTTTTCTACGTGTGTCGCGTGCGGCAAGACGGACGCGCAGAGATCGTCGCTAGCAACGCGCCGCCCGCAGGGGGCGCCACCGCGGCAGCCGACGACTACACGCTGTCCGGCGGCATCATGCGGCCAGCAGGGGGCGCCACCGCGGCGGCCGATGACACGCTGTCCGGCAGCATCCTGCGACGACTGCTAGCTAGCGAGACGCCGGCGCCCCCTGCAGCGGACGCGTGTAAACGGGCGACGGCTGGCGGGCGGGCGCGGCGCGAAGGGTTCAGCTGCGGTGCGTGCGCGCGTGCGGGCAAGCCGTCGCGCGAGTTCAGGCACATGCACTCGCTGCTCGTGCACATCGCGACGCGGCACCGCAGCGGTCGCCTCGACGCAAAGATCGCCACGGCAACGGCCAACGTCGACAAACACGGCGTCGCGAAATCCGACCGCGCGGCAATGATGGCGGCCGACATTGATGAAAGCACTTCTGCGGTCGCCACGGGAACTGATGGCGCGGTATCGACAAACATCAGTGAGAGCGTGGCGACAGTCGCCACGGTATCCAACAGTGCTGCAGCGACGAATCTCAGTGAAAGCGTCACGACGGTTACCGTGGAAACCAACCGCGCGGCATCGACAAACCTCAGCGAGAGTACGACGACCGTCGCCGTAGGAACCAACAGCACCGCATCGACAAACCTCAGCAACAGTACGCAGACCGTCGCCGTGGGAACCAACAGCAGCGCATCGACAAACCTCAGCGATAGTACGACGACCGTTGCCGTGGGAACCAACAGCACCGCATCGATGCGGCACCACAAAACTAACAGCGTAGCCGCCGTGGGAAGCAAACCGCTGTTCATTCTCGTCGTCAATCGGCGCCGCAACGACCGTCTCAACGAGACAATCCCCACCATTGCCACGGAAACCCGCGCGCGGGAGGCAACAGATGGACGCCGCAATGCGGAGCTCCCAGCTTCTTCATCCGTAACCACAGAGACAAGCTCCGTCTCTGCGCGGGGCACGGCGGACGCGGATTCGCGCGCGCCCGTCATCGTCGGTGGCCGCAAGCGAAAGCGAGAAACAGAAAACGAAGCCGGAGACGCATTGTCGACGCGGCGTGCCGTCGCCACGACGACGGGCGGTGAAGGAGATGCTGCAAAGACGAGCTACCGGGCGAAGCTGAGGAACCGCGGCGGCGGCTCGGACGCCGGGTCCGCGGAAGCCGCCACTGGTGCGGGGACATCGTCGGGGAGACCGCGGCGCAGCGCCGCTCGCTGCATGAAACATGGCTTCAGGTTAGCAATAGTTCACGCTGCTTCCCCGTCCCGCATTGTCGTCGCGGTCGACCGCTCTGATTCGTCGTTTCTGAGACTGCCGTCTCGCGACTTTAATTTAAATAGCCGTCTGCGTTCTCCTAAATTTATACATGGGCTATATCGTGATTCGAGTCTGCAGCTGGTAATAAATCACTAAAATTATTAGGTCTTTTTACGGTTTGTTTTTAGGAGAAACTCGGCGTGGGTGAAATCTCAATGCGAAGTTCACGTCAATGTCTATATTTTAAAATTCGATATAGCAAATCCATACTTTGTTGACGGAAGTCTTGAAGGTAGAAGTGCTAGGACTGGTGTTGAATTTTTTTTTTTGCATTTTCGAATGCAGGTTTACCCAAACTTTTCACTGCAGGTTTGTGAGGAAGGAAGACGGGATCTGTGAGCATTGCATGGACGATCTGGAATGCAATCTCTGCGGCCGCAAGTTGCCCAACAAGCAGCAGTACTCGCTTCATATAAGTTTCCACCGGCCCCTCTCGTGAGGAGAATTCGCCTGTCGCACGGATAACGCATCGTCCTCATGCATCGATGGAAAATGCCGCTGCTCCGACGGAAAACGCTGCTGCTCCCGTCGGCTTTTATGATTATTTGGTTGTTTAACCAGGATTTATTTCGTCTACACATCGATTTTCAACCGTCCGTCATTAATCTGACAAAAGAGATTATTTTTACACAATTCAAAAATTGCCCATGTGTGGCATGTAGCACAAATGGAGGTGGAAATCTCTTACCACTTATTAGGTCTTTGGAGGTGGAAAGACTTTAGTGTGACGTAACCTGTTACATCGATGTTTGGGATACTCGTGAAAAAGATGTGCATAGCATTCAATAGCTGCATCGTTTTGAAGAAGCCATTTTGATCTTCTGAGACTAGTCAAATTTACAAATGTGATAAACTTGTGTACGAAATATTGATATACTAGATACTTATCGTAGCAAGCCTGTATATTAAGTTGCTCTATGCATTTATGGCTTTGGGGTTATTTGCAATTCAGTCAACTGTTCCCAATAGTTATAAGCAGAGTAAAGAGAAAACATCATGAAAGTGTCGTTCGCTAGTTGATGTTCTAGTCTTTTAAGATTTTTACATATTAATATATATTTCCTTTGGTCGTTTAGTATAGCAAACAATCAAGGCGCCAAATTAGTTTTGCCATTGTAAATTAAGTTAAGCTGGTCAGTGTGTGTGTATTCAGACTTGAGAGAAAATCTCTCTCTGGCAGCATTACAATTTAAAGCAGTTTGTTTGCCTTTACCCGACCGACTAACCAAAAATGGCCCGATTGAAGTGTTTTGTTTTATTGCCTATTTTCAACATTTATTCATCACTCTTGATGAATAAGTAATGACTTAAGACTGATATCACATTTTATATTAATGCCATAAAGATGACGATGTCTATAAAACAGTATTTAATACATCTAGATAAATCTTTTAATAATGTAATTTTTATTCTTATTCCCTTAAAAAAATAACCTACCTACCTAACCAAGGTTAAAAAACAGTCGGGTTCAGGCAGACAAAAATTATTTTTGATGGTGGCCTGTTCGTTATTATAATGGTCTTACGATTGTGGAGTTTTACTTCAAATTACATTGTTTTAAAGCCATGGTTGTTGTCTTTTTGTGACATAAAACGGCCGGCATTCGGCAATTATAATACTCTGTTATTGGATTCAGTTGCGCTTGATACCATACTGAATAAAACTGAATATTATTCTAACAATTTTATAGCGTTGTTTGTCTGCAAGATTTCACTCAAAAATTTGCTGATAACACCGTAGCTAAACCCAAACGTTAATTATTGCACTTGTTTGCAATGGGCTCCTGATTTGCCAAACTTCAAATATGAGTCAACTTCAATGTCAAAAACATTCAACAGTAAAATACGGAGGCAATCTCAAATTTTGGATTCGGTTGCCATGGCAACGAACGTGTCGCGACGGCTTTCCCTGGAGGAAGCACGAACCGCGAGCGTGAGGAAATCTGCAAAGAAGAATGAGTTCAACGGCGTAAGAAAAAGCTAACTCCTGCGGAAGCGAAAAAACGACGGGCGCGAGGCGGACTGCACAAAACGACGTCTCCCGCGAGGGGAGGAGGCAAGCATCGCAGAGACCGCAAAGCCTAATCTCATCACATCGATTAAAAATTAAAACGGCACTGCGGAAATCGATACGCGGCGTAATGGTCGTCGTTACCCGCACGTCCGCAGCGAGCAAGTGACAGCGACAATCACATAAACATAGAAACTCTAGCAATTTTTACACGAATGCTAGTGAAAACATGCCTGCGAGGTGGACATCATTAAAATCCATGAGTTAGTAGGAAAGGTATTATTTGCCCATTGTTATACAACAGTAAATGTGTAGCAGGTGTATACTCAATTTGACTAAAAGCGATAGCCAAAATAATGCACTCGTTTCAGTCGCATCTTGCCTATGATAGTAGATTTGTCAACCATCCCTGTTGATCGTGGCAATAACAACGTCATGGCCGAAGCAACGCTATAAACGTATCGAACGGAAAATCGTCTCTCGTAAAATGTAGTTGGATTTTGATTGAGTTGTAATGTAAATAACTCGCTCACACGTGTGCATCGCACGTGTGCAGCTAGCGATGAGTTTCCCTCTACATGCTCAACCTTCCCCTCTCCCTCCGCTCCCCCTCTCCCCGCGCTCGCTCGAGTTTCCGTGAGCCAGGGCAGAAATCATTGCGGATTTCCAACACGCGTTTCCAGCCTAATAAGATTTGTGCCCAACTGTTGACGGACGGACGGACGGACGGACGGACGACCGGACGGACGCACGGACGGACGGACGATCATGCGATTCTACAAGCTGCATCTGACTATGTCAGATGAGCTAAAAACTCATTAGCTTGTTCGCGTGCGTGCGTGCGTGCGTGCATGCGCGTGTGTGTGCCTGTCTGTGTGCGTGCGTGCCTGCGTACATGCGTGTGTGCGTTACGTGCCTGCGTGTGTGCGTGTGTGCGTGCGCGCCTACGTGCATGCGTGCGTGTGCGTGCGTGCGTGCGCGTGCGTGCGTGCGTGCGTGCGTGCGCGCCTACGTGCGTGCGTGCTTGCGTGCGTGTCCATGTGCTTGCGTGTGTGCCTGCCTGCGTGCGTGTGTGCCTGCCTGCGTGCGTTCCTTTATGCTTCCATGCTTATGTGCGTGCGTGCCTTCATGCTTGCGTACGTGGGTGTCTGCGTGCTTGCGTGCGACAAAGCTCGCGAACGATCTCAATAATGCATGCAGCTTCGCTCAAGACAAAACTGTCGCTTGTTTCGCGGCGAGAGAGCCAGCGGCGCTGCTTACTACAGTACGAGGCAAGAAAAACATTTCGTGCGTCGGAACAAGACCCTTTGAAAATTTCCCGTTGTACGGCTTAAGAAACCCGCAAAGAGTCTAAAACAAGAGTGACATCATTAGGCTACGGGGCGCCGTGGGGGCTACTACTGCCCACGCCATCTAACGTAATATCTAAGCGCGCATTATTCGTCTGTGCCAAGTCCACGTGCCGATAGAAGAAGTGCGATAATTCTCATACATATTTCTGAATACAGTTCAAAGCTTACCGATGCTAGCTTTTTTGCGAAAGTTTCTACGCGTAGATGAGTGTGGTGATTGTTCGACTAAGAGCTTTCGCGTCAATCTAAGATGAGATGTATAATTCCGTGTTTAGTTTAGAGCTCAACGCGCTGGCGCGCGGAATTTATATTAACAAATTTTGCGGTTATTGCTAAGTGGATATTTCTCATATAGTTCATTTTGCTTGAATATTTCCTAACTCTCTCCCCCGCCAACCTATTCCCTAATGTCACCCACGTCCTATCGCCCAACGCACACACCCCAATCTTATTTCATAGCGGCTACGTTCACACTCTTTCCTAGCTGGTACTCCACACTATTTCGAATTCTACCCCCCCCCCCTATTTCTTAGCTTCTACCCCACCCTATTTCTTAGCTTCTAACCACGCCCTGTTTCCTAGTTTCTACCCCCACCCTATTTCCTAGCTTCTACCCCACCCTATTTCCTAGCTTCTACCCCCACCCTATTTCCTAGTTTCTACCCCCACCCTATTTCCTAGCTTCTACCCCACCCTATTTCCTAGCTTCTACCCCACCCTATTTCCTAGCTTCTACCCTACCCTATTTCCTAGCTTCTACCTCCACCCTATTTCCTAGCTTCTACCCCACCCTATTTCCTAGCTTCTACCCCCACCCGTATTTCTTAGCTTCTACCCCCACCCTATTTCCTAGTTTCTACCCCCACCC